GATGGGATTTCTGATTTTAATTGTGAGCCGCCCAGAGTCACCCGCTGGGGGCAGATGGGCAGCATACAAATTTAATAATAAATAAATAAACCGCCCAGAGTCGCTCCGCAGTGAGACGGACGGTGACAAATTTGAAATATAAATAAATAAAATATAAATTAAAAAGCATTAAAACATTAAACATTTAGCTGTTCAAGATCACCTAAGGTCGCCTAGGTGGTGCCGCCTAGCCGAGCGCGTGCGTTTACCCAGCAATACGTTTCATTAGGACTTGATTTCGACTAAAATGCCTGAAGTTCGTGCTACAGCGCTGTAGTCCTGCTTGGGGAAAAAGTTCCACTGAACTCAGCGAGGCAAACTCCTCAAAGCAAAATGCAGATCCAGCGACGTAAATTCCTCCCCGCTTCGGCCCCTGCCAACGCCTACCCCCGCCCCAACCTAAAACTGCCACAGCGGAACCCCAACCGCCCACCCGCGAGACAGACCGAGTGGGAGGAGCTGGTGACGTCCTGGGAAGGGGTGGGGTCTAGGCAAAGGCCTAGCGCGGGGCCGGGAGCGTCGCTGCTTACTTGCTTGCTTGCTGGCGCTCGTGTCCGTCGGCTCGGCTGCAGAGGACGAAACAAAGGGAAGGCGTCCGTGCCGGATCAGCGATGGTGGGCATTCCGGGAGCTTCCCAGTGTAAGATCCTCTTCCGCGCCAATACCGAGGCTGCCTCCCTGCTTGACCCTTCCCTTCCACCTCCCCTGGTTTTCCTCTCACTTAGCGCTTCCCACGCCCTTAGGACCACAAGCCCGACCGACGCCGAGCTCTGTGGAGGCTTTGAAGGCTGCAGCCTCAGAAAGGGGCTTAATTCTCCGTAGACGTGGCTGCGGCAGGTGGGGTGCTCCTCTCCCTCTGTCATTCCCCAGGCAACGTGCGCACTCCTTCGCTCCTCTACTCCGCTCGTACCCCGCCTTGGATGTCACCGTTTTTCCCACTCTTCCTCTGCTCCTTTTCTCCCTCTTTCTGAGTGGAATAACGTTACGTGTCCTTTCTTACTCCCGGACCTTCTTTTCGCCGTCCTCCGTTCTCTTGTTACTTTTTCCCTCCTCTCCCTTCCGAATAGTTCTCATATTCATTTATACCAGTCTTTCCCAACTTGATGGCCTACGGAGGTGTGCACTATACTTCCCTTCATCCTCAGCTGGCAGCTATGAGGATGATGGGCCTTGTAGTCAACACATCTGGGGGCTACTTAGTTAGGGAAGACTGGTCTGTAGGACCCAGTTTGTATCAGGTAAGCAGCACCTTCTCTTTCCTATTCAGTAGTTTCTTATTTTCTGCAAACCCATTTAGGTTTTTGCCTACTGCTTTTTTGGTGCTCCTCATCGGAGGGCCCTTTCCTCCTTCATTTGTTCAGCAAGAACAGTTTTTGTGGAAGTCTTTTTTTCTTCTTCTTTTGTCTACAGATTGGGTTGTCTAATATGTTGGATTGTGCTCGTACATGTATCTGTGACATTGGGAAATCAGGAAGAAACTAGGGCATTAGAAATGATTAGCTAAAATATAAACTCGGTATTTGACCCCACATTTTTCACTCTGACCCAGTTAAATAACTATACAATTTTTCTCCTCAATAATACTCAAATAATAAAGGATGCCTGTCTTGTGGTATAATCATCTCTGTTAAATAAATATGTAATGTAAGAAACATTTGTATTAGCATTACAGTCTTGAATTACTTTTGGAACAGATCACTATTAGAAATGTCTTGAAAAATTAGAAATTCTCCATCCCCACTAGAGGAATCTTGCTGTTGGGTCCAGTGTTACTGTTTTTGAACCGCTCAGGTAAATGTGATCTTAAATATGCTCATCTTGTTTTTTTGAGAATGATACATCGAAGCTTCAAACAATATTGCCTGTTCTCAGATTTAGATTTACGTGTTTCCTCTTTAATATTGGAATTGTGCAGTATATATATTTCAAGTTCATCTTCTATTTTCTCAGTGGAAGGAAGTTACTGAATTTTCATACCTTCTTTTAACTATGGAAAACAAATCATGAGAAACTTACCATATTTTAAGTTGGACTGTATATAAATCCAACTGAAGTCAAGTTGTTAACAATTCTTTATTAGTAACCTAGATTAGAATCAGCATGTTACTGCAGTGAAACCATGGTAGAAAGAAAAATTAATACATTTTTGGAGGGAGGCGAGTATGCATACTATTGTACTGTTCCATCAACCCATGTGGTTTTGATGTTATTTTAAAAACGAACCATTTAAACATCTGATTGTTTTATATTCAGTAATGTTAACAGTATTATGCTCAAATGATCATGAAATGCATACATTAGTCATCATTGTTCCATAATGTGGTTTATTCCAGCATTACAACCTGGAATCATTCAGAGTTCAACGCTTTTCATCTCCAGACAATATTGCCAACTGGCTGAGGATGATGGGTTTTGTAGCCTAAGATTGCTGAAGGATGCCTGACTGGAGGAAAATAATTTATACCAAAGCTTTGATCTTCCAAACATGTATAGTGTCATAATTAATTGTTGTTAATGGTGCTTTAAGACAGCAATTTTTGATTATGCAAATCAGTGAGTCAAGACAGAAGACCATTTTGCTAATTTTATTTGTTCATTTCAGACATTTGTATGCTGCAGTTTAGGGCAAAACTCTTAAGGCAGCTTAAAACAAAGTCATAATACATCAAGTGTTAGTAACCCTGCAATATAAGTTAAAACACTATGACGTTTGAAACAGTTCTGAATGTACTCATTAAATACTAGTCAGCTGTAAGTGTCAGCAGAATAGCCCCATGCTTATTCCTCATATACGGGGGATATTGGCTTTCTTTCTCTTGTGCCTACCAACCTAATAATTGTGATAGAAAGATTGCAGCAAGAACTGAAGAGCTTGGGTATAGCAAGTCCTCTCATTACTTGGCCCTGTAATGTATAGAAAGTCAATTTCAGAAATCTAAATTTGGCCTGGAAAGACATGCATAAATACATAATCAGTATAGTTTGCATGCTATAGCTGGGTTCACACTATTGCTTGCATTTTCTGGAAAATTTTAAAAGACAGCAATACCTATGTTGCAGCACAATAATCAAGAAGTAAACCAGGGTATATGTCATCCAGGCAACATTAGAGAAGCCTTGCTAGATCAAACCAAAAGCCTGTACAGTTCAGCATTCTGTTTACACAGTGGCCAACCACTTGTTTTTGAGTAACACATAGTAAAATACGGGAGGAATAGCATTCTAGTAGCTACATTGAAAAGCACAGTGCCTTCAGTAATATAAATTATATAGAACTATTAATGATTAGTAGCAATTGCTAGCACTGTCTTTCATAGATTTATCTAACCTTTTAAAGGTGTTGAAATGGATGACCATGTTACATTCCACATTTTAATTATATGCTTAATATTTTTTAATATTTGCTTTATTTTAACATGAAGCATCCAGCATGTTTAGCAGCTCTATTCTTTTTGATGTGACTAAAATTGTAATGGTATCCAAATGCTGTTAATTGAATTTAAATAAACGCATGATGATACTGGTGGTTTTTAAAAAATATAATTTCCTATTGATGTCCCATATATGTCTGCCAGTTTGGAATAGGCATATATTGGGGCTACATGTTCAGTATCCTGCCCATTGTATTCTATGATCCCTTTCCTTGTTGATGTCAGACCGGATTCCATTAACATATGCATGCATGCTTTCATGCATGCCATTTTACATGGGCATATGCTTCCTACAGTAATGCTCATTTTCCCAGTTGCTGAATTCTTGGAGACTTTTTGTTACACTTTTCACTACTCTTTAGGAATTGCTTTGCTCAGACCTAATTCCTGTTCTAGTTTGATCAGTAATCCTACTCTCTGCTTCCTGTAATCATTATACCTGCACTCTGTTTATGGACCAATTACTGATCCATCAAATCTCCTAGTTATTTCTCATGGTGCTAAATTTGCTTAGGGTGTGGGAGTCTTTATTAAAAGTCTTTAAAAGCCCAAGTCTTCTGGATGATCCCAAAAATGTATTGTACTTGATGAGAATCTAAAAGCTTAATCAAATGAGACATACATTTGCAAAACCACGTTTTTTCCCACATTACATTCTTCAGCAAAGGTTGTCTTTGTGGGTATTGATAATTTTCTCAATAATACACTTTCCCTAGTTTTCCCAGAATACATGTTAATCTAATCCATTTATATGTATTTAACCTAGTTTTAAAAACTAGTGTTACATTAGCTGTTTTCCCTAGTTGTTTAGTAAGGAAGACAAATTGATCTTTTATTAGATAATCAGGAATATTACATTTTAATTCGAGAAAAGCTCTCAGAAAAATGCTATCCTATAATCATTCTAATTATCATTGCATTATCACTATTTACCTTGATTCACTTCCTGAACATAGCAATTCAGGCAGAGTTAACTTCTCTGTATATTCTTAGGATCCACTTCCTAAGTATTAGTGATTTGTTTGTTGGTTTTGGTTTTGGTTTTTCCTTAACTTGCAAGTCAGTTGTAGTAGTCTTCCTTTAGGGGACACAGTTTTTCAATTGATTCTTCAATGCAGCAGTCACTTAAGTCATGATTATATGAACCGTTGTGCTGAAGAACAGCTCACCCCTCCATTGTAGTAGGCTCCCATCTGTTCTAAAAACTAAAGAGTACAGAGACTTGTAATGCTCTGGAGAACTTAATGGGAAAGCATGTGCAAAATCCTTTGAATTTGTTGTCCTGACCATTCTGAAAATGTTTCAAAAACAACTTGGTTTTGAGTTTGAAACACTTCCAGAAAGGTCCAAACAACTTATTTTGAACTAGAGGCAACTGTTTTGAATATGAAATTGAATGTTTTTTGCTTGAAACTTCAGATTTGACCCTTTTACACACTACTGAGGGATAGACATTCTGTAAGTTTTTCTTTGCTATGGCCAAAACTCTGTAAAGGATAGGCATTTCATCAAGACTTGAAACTACATAATATACCATTAGTAGGATTCAATATCAGTTATATTTCTCTTCTTTTTGACATGAAATTGCTGAACTAGAATTTATTAGCAAGTATGATTCAGTTCACTTAGATGTCCATTAAGACTGTCTTTCCCCACTACAGATGTTAATAAGTATAGAAAAACTAAGATTGCGTTGTCTGTTACTGCTGTTTTGAATGAGCACTGTGTTTGCCTTTTTGTACACTTAAGTGCTACATAGTATTGTTAAACACAATTCCATGCATTTTAGGGAAATTTGGCCCTATTGTTTAATTCTCTCCCCCCCTCCCCACCCGCATCATTCATGCATATCTGATTTATCACAATCTGCCAGTTGCTTGTAACACGTCATGCATCTCATAAAATAGGCTTTATTCCATGAATGCCTCAACAAATCTGTTTGCATTTGGGATGTACTAAATTCTTTGTTTGATGCAGTAAATTAACACAGCTCTCCCTCTGGAAATTCTTGTATACATTCCTGAAAGTTCAAAACACAACATCTTGGCTTTCTGTAACCTACTTTCTCTTAAATGAAGCCACATCTGTTTCTCACTCTCTGTTCTTAGGCTCTCCCAATATCCATAGAAGTCTTCCCATTCCTGTTGTTGCTTGTGTCATTGTAAGAGTGTTCCTTCTTTGTCCAATATTCCAGTCCCCCCCCCCCAGG